TCCCTCTTGCCCCGTCGAATCCGTCTGCTATCTCCCTGGTACATGTATTTCACTCGACCCTTGCCCCCCCCATCTGTGGTATTAGAGGCGTAATTCATCCATCCCTTGCACCTGGGCAATTAATTAGAGGCTAAAGCCTCAGAGTAAGTCTCATGATCATTCCTCTGCTACATGGACCCCGTCTATTGTAAAACCTACTGTCCGCCAACTAATCACCGCCTTGTATATCCTGTCTCTATTCCTAACACCAAGTATATGACTTGCCATGCCCTAGTTGCTTGTATGCCAACCCACAAATGTTGTGGTACTGCTGGCTTTGTTTAGGTTCAATGTTGAAACGTCTGATAATGTACCACGTCCACGGTCTTACTCTGGAAATGATGATGCATACAATAGACTCCGGAGTAGGTGCGTTCCACTAAGTCTTCCTACCAATATGATAGAGTTGCGAAAACAAGGTCAAACCCTTTCTATACAAAGAAAGGAGACTTCGACCACACAAAAGGCCACACCATCTTGGTCTTCATAACTTCGAATAATGTATAGAAGTGGGTTGACCTCGTTGTGGCAACTTAGTAGAACGCAACTTGTCCAAAGTCCTCTGCCATATTTATCATAAGTCCTAGCATCAAACCGTGGACTTGGTATATTCTCAGACGTTTCGCCGGCATCGCAACTAAATGCTGTCATTCTCCCAACGGAGCTTCGAACTCGTAAAAGAGACAAGTAAAGTCAATACCTCGACCCACATTTTGCCGAAAACGGTTACACTATCACTCCTCTTTCTAGCCTGGCCCATCTATCAACTCTTTACCCTCCTATCCAACTCCCGCCCTATCAGAACTTCTGAATGGACAGAAATACGAGTTATAGTGTATCCGTTTTTGGCAGAACGTTGTACAGGTATTGTCTTCTCTGACGCGTATGTAGCTTGGTGCGGAGAATGGCGGCACATACTGATGATGCCAGCGAAACGTCTGAGAATGTATCAAATACATTGTCTGATGCTTGGAGTTAGGATAACTATTATGGCAAAGGACTTTGGACAAGGTGCGATTTACTAAATCGACCTGACAACAAGACCAAGTTGCGACAACGAGGTCAACCTACTTCTATAAATCCAAAGGAGACTGTGACCATACCAGGGGCCACACAATCTTGGTCGTCATAGTTTCGAATAATGTATGAAGCCTATTAAATAAGGAGCTCCTCAAATTTAGCCATGCTTGGTCTTTCCAAAAATTAGTGATAAAAAAGATCCCATAGATAATCCTTGTGTTCGTTCGTATAGCTTACCAGTAAGGCTAAAATATGTACAAGGCATCGCTCAATGTATGAATAACATTAATGACTCCTTACTTAACTTTGTAATTCTCCTCTGAGTTTTGAATTAGTGTTGAGTATAGAGCTTGTGTAGCATCATCTTAAGGAATGTTAGTTTACATAAACTCAGTGTTAAAAGTTACAAACAAATCCTCACTTACTATCTCCTGCTGGTCGACTAGGTCAACAATTTAATAAGAATATTTAACTGAAATCGGACACGTCTAGGAGATTTGCTTTAGCTGGTGACAAATATATCTAATTGTTATATGCATCATGCCAACCTTATCATTCACACGTATCTTGTTACAGCTCTAAAGCCATTCCCCTTCAGCTTCGTGTAAGACCAGCTTACGAATCCCTTAAACTTGCCTCTTCAAGCAAAATAAAGGTCTTTCAACATCAACCTATTAAGGGATTCTTCAAAAGGTATTTTTTCTATAAAATCAAAAATGACTGA